TTTTTTTTTTTTTTTTTTTTTTTTTTTTTTTTTTTTTTTTTTGTGATACTGGGGATTGAACTCTGTTCCGTGTACTTGTCAGACAGGCATTTATACCACTGAGCTATATTCCTATTCCCAGTCTTCTTGTTGAGATTTTAAGATATAAAAATGAGATGCATGATAAGAGTGTCATAAAAGTATATGTACTAAAATGCTCAGCTCTGGGGCATCAAGCTCACTCACCAGGCAAGCAAAAAAGTAACTTGTGAAAACAGATTACATTTTGCCAATTAAATTAGGAAGTGTATAAAATACAAAAGTTTACTAGTTAAAAAAATATTAGATAGTGTGAAAACTCAAGATAAAAAGCTGAATATTTGAGAAGTATTAGTCTCTTCTATAACTTGGCAATGCCACTTCTAGGTACACCCAACCAATATGGTACTCTTAGAGATCAATCAGAGAAATGCAACCATTTTCTGTCATGAACAACTAGTCAGTATGTTTAGATTTAGAGGAACTTCTGAACCTCATCTCAGTATTAGTTCTGTCAGCTTAGTGTCAAACCAGCCCCAGACTGTGTGTAGATCTATGGATGTGAATCTTTTATTAATATAATTTATGAAATAAATAACAAAAAGAATCTGTTACCTAAGTTCAGATATTATACAAGAAAAAATATTATTTTTCCCTTAGATTATGGTAGGATTATAAGGTCCCCCCCCCTTCTAGTATTTTTAACAATGTCAAAGAGAAAAAGAGAGATGGCGAGAGGGAGGGAAGGAGGAAAGGGGTAGTTCAGGGAGAGAAACATTTGGAGATGGCAATGGAAAGACACAAACAGAGAACCCTATAAAGGAATAAAAACATGATAATTATAAAGTCAAATACATGGGCTCATGTTTTGCATCATGACATGCAATTAGGTGACAATTAACTAACTATAGAATGAACCAGTGCTGTGCAAATAAAACAAAAGTTTCATTTTAAAAGTCCTTAAATGGATAAATAATTCCTCACACAAGAGAAAATAATTTCAGGTATGAAAACCTTGTTTTCTCACTAATTAAAGATATTGACAACATTGTCTAATGCTCATTAGTGAGATAATATGAAGCTTCACTTCCTGTGCTTTCCCTAACCCACCACCAAAGAGGTATAAAAGGCCCTTCTCAGAAAGGGACATTCAGACACGACATCTACTTCCATAACCTCAACAGAACAGCCCACTCCTGACACCATGTGCCACTACAGCAACTACTATGGTGGCCTCAGCTCTGGCTATGGTGGCCTAGGCTGTGGCTATGGCTGTGGTGGCTATGGTGGCTACGGTCGCTATGGCTATGGCTGTTGCCGTCCCTTGTGCTGTAGGAGATATTGGACCTATGGCTTCTACTGAGGAATTTACCTTGACAAAACTGCAGTTTTACTCCACTTATCTCTTACTTCATTCACGTGTTAAATTTCCAAATATTTTTTTAAAATACTAGCTATAGCTGCCCTCTTTGAAAAAGAAAACACTATTTAATTTCTACAGCTGTTTATACTCCTATGTGAAAAGTGATTATGTGTAAGAGTTTTCTCATACAATGATATAATATTAAATAATTTATATTTTACACTGAATGTTTCTTTGTTAATGTGTAACCACATTAAAGGTTGATTATTTATTTTGGTGTTGATGTGTGATTAGTCACAAATGTAATATTGTAGGAAACAGAGAAAGAGTGAGAGAAGGAGAGAGGGAGAGATGCAGAGAGACAGACAGCCAAACAGACAGGCAGACAGGCAAGCAGACAGTCAGAGAGGGAAGGAAAGTGAGTAGGGAGTGGCAAACAAGGGGAGAGGAAACAGAGAGATGAAGCTCTTTTTTGTATAATTAGGAATCAAAGCCATATGGATAAAATTTCATGTTTTTCACACATCATATGAATTTACATAAATATCTTTTGCTGTCCCCTACTATTTTTATTTGCTTATATTCTATGCCCAAGTTTTAAAAATGGCTATTTTTATAATAAGATCTTTCTCACATTAGAACATTTAAATTTTGAGACCTGTCTGCTCTGTGTTGTTTGCATCACCAGTGCTTGGATTATATCAGCTAGAGCCCTATCTCTACCAAGTATTTCTCTGCCAGGATAATGCTTGTAAGTGTTCTCATAGAAACTATTCTAGTCATTTGGACAAAATACCTGACACCCACAGCATAAATGGTCAGAGTTTTATCTGGAGTCCTGGCCAGCAGCCAGGACAGGAAGGACTATGGTGAAGACTCCTGGGCAGGGCAGAAGCTATTCATTGTGTGAGAGCCGAGAAGCCAATAAGGGTGGGAGCCGAGAGGCCAATAGGATTGGAAGGCTGAGAAGGAGGAACACCTTCCTGCTCCGAGCCCAGTAGCCAGCCTTCACCCAAGCACCACCTCCAACAGTGCCTTCTGCTTCTGAAGCAGTAGTGGATGAATACCCTGACATGTATAACCCCTTTGTCCAGTCGCCTTTCAGAAGCCCTGCCTTTGAATTAATGGGTGTCTTGGGGGTTATTCTAGATCTAAACCGCAACAGGGGCAATCGTATTGAAAATGGCCCCAATAAGAATGCTGCTCTGGCTTTCCAACATGGCAACAAATAGCATCTCAGTGTGTACCAATTTATTCTAACGACTTAGAAAATAATGTATAATTTATACATAGCCAGAATAATTATTTTAAAACCTTTAGATCTTTCTCAGTAGCAAATTAAAAGTAGATTGATTGATTGATTTTATCCAGAAGCCTATGTATGTGCTCATGCATACTGATTTTCTTAAGATTAAAATTGCTTTGTTCCTAAAGCTCTTTGGCTTTCACTTGGGAAAATCCAATTGAAAATGTCAAATGCAATGAAATACTGATAGAGGAAGTAAGGATTAAAAAGAACAGTATACTAAGCATGCAGAAATTTTGTAAATTTGGACTGAAATTCCACTGTTCTTGAATTCTACCAGGCAGGCAAGCGACTGCTAGAAGAGGTATAAACAGTAGAATTTTGGATTCCACCCTCTGAGCCCATGGCTGGAAAGCCACAGTTGGAAACATAGAAAACAAAATCCTGTAAAAGATGTCCTATTAAATTACTGAGTTTACCACAAAGCAAGGTTACTCTTTGAGACACTTTACAAATTCTGAAATTACAAGGGTCTGTTTCCATAGAGAACACAAGTGTAATTCAGAAGTGAGATATTTTGTTCATAATCATGTGATGAAAATAATCAGTAAAATTCAGAGTTTACTAAAAAGAAGCAATTTTAATTGAAAAGGGGAATATCTCTTATTTCCCAAAAGAGTTAAATAGACCTTTAATAGGAGACATTATCTTTTGGCCTTTGAATGGATTACAATAATCAGAATGTTTCTTTTTTTATCTACTCTTTCCTTCTTTTTTTAAATTTAATTTAATTATTACCTTGTTTTATACAGGGTCTCACTCTGCAGTTCAGAATCATAGCGATCCTCCTGTCTCAGCCTCCCCAGTGCTGAAACTACAGGCATGCGCCACCCCACAGGAGTCCTTGTGCTGGCCAGGTAGGTCCTTAGACAGCCCAGCTATCTCCCTAGCCACTCCTTTCTTCCTTTCCTTCCTGTTCTTCTCCTTTCTTTAATAAAATATATCTTGTTTTTCTGTGCAGAATGACCCAAAATTTCTGAGTTCAAGAAATCCTTCAGCCTCAGCCTCCAGAGTAACTGACTGACCATGAGCAAATACCAACACACCCACCTCAGATGGTGAGAGATTGTCTAGAGCCTAAAGTCAATTACAAAAATATCTACATTGAAATCCAATATTATTTTGGAACATCCATAATGTTTGAGGATGTGAAATGTTCTGGAGTTATTTAATAGAAGTAACATAATAAAACTACCTAAGACAAGATCAATAGATTGAAGTACACAGGCAAGACATTTTGGAGTATACAAAATTAAAAATAATTTATAATAGAATCCATTTTAATTTTAGTTTGAATGTCAATTAGAATCCAGTTTGAATATCAATTAGAGAAAAAATATTTTTGTACAGGGGATTGAAATCAGGACCCTGTACTTGTCAGGCAGACATTCATGCCCCTAAGCTAAATTCCAGTTCCTAAAAGGTCAGAACATAGCTAAGGACTCAATAAACTCAGGTGAATTACTAAAAGTAAGCATACATTGATAAATTAGTAATCTAGAGCAAAAAAGGAGAAATTGGAATGTAAAATATTGACAGATTTCATGAAATGAAAAACATGCATGTAAATGGAATTCAGTAGGGAAAAATAAAACAGAAATCATATTAAATAAAATATATTAAGTATTTATGTTTTTCAGATCTATTAAAATATATCAGTCCACAATTTCTTATAGCAATTCATTATCAAGAGGGAGAACAAAAATTAAAATCTCGTGTGGATATAATCCAGTACACCAAAAGTAGGTACATACCAAAAGCTAACTGATCTACACAAAACAAATATGTTATCTAAAAAGAGAATCAGTATGCCTGGCAGTTAAAGCCCTTTATAAAACAAAGGAACTTGAAAGGAATTATAATATGTTAAGGATGGAATAGGAGTAAAATCTAGAATTTCACACAAACAAAATTGCCCATCTAATAGAATACAAAATTATTAAACTAATGTTTGATGAGATAGCTCAGAGGACTAAGTGCCTGCTTAGGCAAGCATAAGGACCAGGGCTCGATCCCCAGCACCATATGCAGCACTGCACTGGTCCCCACCCTGGTGTGCTGAGCAGGCCACAGAGACCAGAGAAGGTGATGCAGGCCTGTAATTCCAGTGATGGGGAGGCTGAATACAGGAGGATCACTATGAGTCTGAGCTGCATCGTGAGACCCTGTAACAAATACGGTGAAAAAGTAAATATTAAACCAAAAATAATCTTAAAAGTAATGAAAATAAAAGACAAAACTCATGAAGAGTTTATTCTTTTAATTAGTCATTATAAGAAATGATAAATTTAAGAAAGAAACTTCTGAGAATAAAATGTGCATTCAATAAATAACAAAACTAATTAAAATAAAAATCAATGTTATTCATGTACATAAAATAGTGATAATTTCCACTGAGCTTTCAATAGACCTAAATAAGATATATAAAACCAGCGTCATAAAATGTGCATAAAATACATTCATCTAAGGTGGTAAGCTTACTAGGGAAGAACAAATACACATAGATGAAAACAGACTGTCAATAAAGTCTATTTTCATAAAACAGAAAATGCTGGAAAAATGAGAAAATACAAGGGTTTAGGAGGTAGAAGAACAATCGCAGCTAAAAAGTTGAATTTTGGAAAGATGTAAGCCTTTTCTTTGGTGCAGCAACCATGGTCCAAGTTCTGTAGCACACCAGGGTGACTGCTGCCACCACTGGTTCAAGCAAACACATTCTGTGCAACAATAGTTGGTCAACACTTTGGAATTTACAGAGTACACTCTGTACTCTGTCTCTGTACTCAGCTTTGCAGTTATGGTATCAAAGCATCCACAGATTCTATGGAAAGGAGCAGATATGACTATTTTATGATAAAACTTATTTACCAAAGAAACAGTAGAAGGGTCAGTGAGATAGCTCAGCAGACTAAGCACCTGCTTAAGCCAGTGAATGGATCAGGGTTCAATACCTCGTCTTGCATAATGGGCCGGCCCCTCCCCTGGGGCACTCTGAGCCTGCGACCAAGTCCAGGTATGGTGGTGTATGCCTGTAATTCCAGCACTGGGGAGACTGAAAACAGAAAGACCACTACGATTCTGAGCTATCTGTACCAAATACATGAATTAAAAAAAATTTAAAGGAAATACTGGACAAGGATTTGTGTGATACTAAGGTTACACATCCAGCAGAAATTATTTTCCATCTCTTATTGTATAGGTTGCTTTTCCCTTCAGTATTTTTGCCAGTATTACTTGTTTTCACATCACAGTTACCCTTGCCTTTTGATTTGGCCATGTTCAAAAATAACAGTAATTTTTTAAAGTAATTGTTAGGGACGGAGTAAATATCTCTGGAGATTTCTTTCATACTTACACCTTCAGTACATCTATGTGGATTAAAAAAGACAAAAGTAGATCATATAGACTTTCTGTATCTAAATTATTCATTTATGTTCTGGAAAGTTTGAAATCATTGACAAGGAATGAATTCAAATTAGCAATC